ATATTTATATAAATATATCATATATCATCCTCCTTCAAATGTAATATGTTGCATTATACTCTTGTCATGGAAAGATTAAATTTTAATGTCTTAATTTATTCTTATATTAATTTATGCAGGGACAAAGCTGGCTCGTATCCTTTAAAAACGACAACTAAAGGATATTGTTTTTAAGATCTCTTTAAAAAAAACTTATGATTTAAGAAATCTTAAATCTTAAAAAACTTAAACCATTGTGCCTTTTTAAGACCAGCCTCCTTAACATTCAATAGATATGGTATCCAAGGAAAGGGAGCCACCTTGATAAGGGGTATCCATGGTGATTATTTTAACGTGGAGGGTTTTCCTTTGTATCATTTTTGTACCCAACTTGTAAAACTGTACAAAAAATAAAYACTYAAAATTAAATCTTTTATAATTTATTTAAAATAAGTCAGTAAAATAATAAAATAGATACATTTACACTCTACTAARTATTACACATTTTGTACATCCAAAATCACTTGAATAGTACAAGACATTAAATAATTTAGATGTCAAACATGTAAAATATATCTTTTACTAATTACAGTACGGGCCACACTGTAAGCTACAAAATACACTCAGAAAAATTCATCTAAGATATAAATCTTTTGCCAAATTTATTGGCTTTGTACTCTGGAGTACAGTGTGTTGAGTATGGTATGTAGAGTTTGATATAGTGGTTACTTGGTAACCTTTATACATTAAGATAATCATATATTATAACAACTGTATTGCGCATGTATTTTGTGAGCTCTATATTACATAATGAGTTATTTAATAGTACAAGATGAATTTCTAAAGAAAAACCTAGAGARGACCTAATATCAGACAAACAATTTCAAGTAAACTAGATAAACTYCTAATAGTGATATTGGAGCTGTAGCAACTTCTAGGGCTCAAAGCATAATCAATCCCCAATTACAATGCAATGATAAAATTTAGCACTTTCTTATTATTTTTAGTTGTTTTCTAGATTTTCAATCAGACCTCTACCCTCTAATAAATATTCATTGTTTCATAAATCATCCCTTTATGAAAAGTAATCAGTTCAAAAGTTTCTTAATACTCTACTATACAAAAGTAACTAGTACAGCAGTAAAAGGTTATGATCAAAAGCCTTTCGAAATAGCTGATGTACTCTTGCTTACACTTCAATATGGTAAACTTTGTCATTGTGTTCACATTTCCTCCTTGAAGCTGGCACCTGAAATCTTTACAGAACATTGTAACCAAATGTTTTGGTTTTATATCCTGCTGTCTGTATTCAGTCTAATTTCTTATTGTTTTCCTTTTCCAAAGATTCAACTTGCATCAGAGTAATCCTTAAAAAATAGAAGAATATTTTAGAGTTAATTAAAGAATAATTTCAAGTAAACATACTATAAAATACAGCTGATAATTCATTTACAAGAAAGGCAATATTGTAAGAAAAAAAATTGCTTCGAGTGAGTACACTTTGTAATAGAATGTATTCACTATGAGTCAAATGGCTTGGGATTGCTATGTGAGACCACTTACATCATCACTGTAGTGGCGTATTGGTGAGATAGCATGAGCACCAGAGTCRCTGGCATCAGATACGAGAGGTGATGACATATCTTTTGGCTGCATCTTTGTAAATTCACTACTTGTGAATGACGTATGCAAATGTTGGTCAGTATTGCGTGAAAACCCTGTGAAGAAAATTAAAAATTAAAACTCAAAAAGTTTTGGAGCAGCACCTCCAAAACTATACATTCTCTTATTTTAAAAAAAATATGTTAAAACTTGAAAATAACACTTTTTCTTATGTCGTATGGAAAGGTTTAATTTTGTCACATAGATAATTTTTTAATTTTACACTTTGAATTTCAGAAAGACCAATGATAATATCGATATATTGACTCACTTGATCCTGTTCTACTTGTTTCGTGAATCAGCTTTTCCCTAGAAAAAGATCTTTGTCAGTGCTATTGGAATTCCTGTGGTATTACATTATTTTACAAATTCCAAATACCTTTCATATTTCTCAGATACCAATTTTTTCCTAAGTTTAGTGACTTCATCTTCAAGCCTATCTGAGGCCATGCGTAGGGTATCGATTTCTTGTCTTTGGACTGACCTAGATGCGAAATTACATGTATATTTTATTATCCCTATTCTAATTACAGACTTTTTTGTCATTTAGCAGGATAAGACTATGTTTTTTGGAGAAATGGGTGCACTCTAGCTACATGTATATCCTTTGTAGAATCTTCACATTGCAACTTCACTATTTTCTTGCATTTCTGGATTAGAAACAATGCTTCTCTACTTCCCATAGTGACAATTTGTAGTTTACCCTTCATGTCCAACTGTTATCCATAATATTAGGTAATCTAACATTTTTTATTTGCTTCAGAATATTAGCTTTAGGATATCATCACTACTATTGATAAAAGTTGCTAAATAATTTTTGCTCCAAACTATCACTAGTGTATCTGTAAGTCCTATATGAAATTACCCTGTTATAAAGCTGCATTTACTTCACATTGCAGACAAATTGGTAATAATCATTAGTCTATATAAAGATATTTAATATAAGTAATAATGTATAGTTTATCTACTCACTTTTCGTGGTCATTTTTCTTAAGTTTATCGCGTAATCTGTCTACTTCTTCCATAGTWGTTTCTAAAGATTTTCGTTCGCTGTATCCCTATAAAGCAATGTAAATAGCTTATTAAAATGTCCCTTATCTACAATATTTATCAAAGCGTCAAAAGATAAATGACATATCAGGAAAATTAAGCGATAAGATAATATGCCGAGCGAGAAAATCCTGAAAGGAAAAGAAACACCTGAAAATACTCCAGTTTAATTACCTTTTGTCGTTGTTTAGCAATCAGTCCTTCAAGACTTCGGACAGTTTCTTTTTCGTCAAATACCTTGAAAGATCAAAAACATTTAGCTAAGACGACAGTACATAGACAGCTGTGTCTCAGGTGCAACATCTTAGTTGAAATTAATSGTAACTCTATCTAAATAAGATTATTACTTGAAACTTCCAGCGTACCTTCCGTCTAAGGTTTTCTGTTTCATTTTTGGCGTCCTCTAATAATTCTTGTAACTGTTTTGAAAAAGTTTCAGATTTAGTATACTTCAATGAAGGATTTACTTTTATTCCAACTCGTTATGTCGAGTAATGTTATCGAACAGGAAAAAAAACCGCATTGCTGGGTACATCCGCACCCTCCCAACATAATGACTATAAAATGACATAATCTATTAAGCATACATTCTTTATGAGTTAACACGAAAACAATCATCATTCTCTTTTTAAAATATCCGGATACGATAGCGCGCCTTACGCATGAAAATAGTATCAGCTATTTCGGAAACATCTAGATTTGTGTAAACTCAGCCTAGAAACTGAACGAATTGTAGCTCCTCGATAAAACGCCCTACATACAGCTTGAAAGGTTTTACAGCTTTTTACTTGGTTATTCGTTTGCAATGGCAGTATTAAATGACCCCAAAACATGTTTCGATCGGTTGAAAGACATTCCTGCTTGGCATCGAAGCGRACAAGTTGTCCTTGGCGGAGAAAAAACCGTTTTCTGTCACTGTAGTGTTACTGTTTCAAAGGAGCCTGTAACGTGTGTAAAAACTGCTTTATCAAGCACTGCTTTCCTAACCTGTTCTTGATCCAAACTTTTAGTCGCCAACTGCCGCGATAACGACTCTCTTGTTTGGTCTAGTTTTCTGCATAATTCTCGAACCGCTGATATATCTTGCAGTAAGTTTTCCTGTTTGAAGAGAACGGATAATTCTCGTCAAAAAATCATAAATTTTCTACATCTATCTTGACTCAAATGAGTTCTTTTCCTTCATGCTTTCCTTTGTTTCTACATACACTTTTAGTATTCAATCATTATATTCACTTTCTAGCTATTTCCCTAGCTTTCGCTCACTCCTTTTTAGCATCTCTCATGTATAATTTCATGCCTCCCCTCACGTCCCCTCACACTTCCACTTCCGGATTTCTATCTTTTTTTAGTCAACACAGAAAAACAGAAATTTCCGACAAAAACCACGAAAAAATTCCGATATCGTTTCAGTAACTTCAACTCGCCCATCTATAGACGTCTTTTCTTGTAAGACGACAATGACTTTTCCCGAGGAGATGTATGACGTCCCATTTCCCGCTAAAACTCAAAGGCCAAAATCCACGCGCGCGCGTTGCGGTTTACTTTCCCGCTAAGTTTTCGCGCTGTGGAATAACGATGGATAATCTTCTTTCCTCGGAGGAATAACGTCCGAAACATCAGTAAGTTATTCTTATACTTTTTACTGTGTAAAAGTATTTCACAACTCTTTCCGGCTTTAGAAACACCAACGCAGCTCACACTAGTTCCTATTATTTCGATATGTGACGTGTATGACACGAATTACGCCTTACTCTATCTTCATTGGATTGCCTAAGTTGTTCTTCCATTTGAGCCAGTGATCTTGTAAGGCTTGACACTTGTATTTCATATTCGTTAGCAGAGGCAACATGCTGAATGGATCAAGAAAACAAAGCATTATTTCTAGCAAAACTGAGCGCTCTAAACATAATCGAGTTCCAAAAGTAGCCGAAGTGGTTAGACTATGATAAACACTGATTATCACAGCTATAAATTTTGTCACGCGCATGCATGCACTAACGCATGTATATGTATAATATCACTGCAATATTTTCAACCTAAAGGTGGCTAAACAGAGTAACCTTGTCCCAACTACATCACCATGTAGTCTTAGGGTATGTTTTATATGGTTTAGGGTTTTACTTTCTTTTCTTTAGTTTTTTTTTTTTTTTCATTTGCATATTTTTTTTCTTGTTCTTGTTGGTGTTTAGTGAAAAGTTGAATGCGTCTTCATAAAGATATATGTCACTTAGAAATGGAATGGGAAGACGCTGTTGTATTTGATTGRAAGCGAGACGTGCAGTACTTTGCACTGATACAATGACTTGCACCTACTCTCATAGGCTTCATTGCACGTTAAATGGGWCGTCCCGCTTCGATAAAAATGAAGAGATGGCSCAGAGAATAATGAAGGAGACTATTAGCTCCAAATATGGAGATTTCGATTRCTTGCGTCAACGTTCWYAAATACTGAACACAAATGTGTAAACTCCACTAATGAGCTCTTAAAGATGCACAGCAATTAATGACTCGCAAAGCGCATTAGGATATGAGATGAATTAGAAGAGCAAAGGAAAAGACACAAGCCACAAATTATCATATAAAACATCAAGGTTTAGTGCATATTCTGATCATAATCAGTTATAAGATTGGAGTTTAGTGGGAACTTATTTCAAACGGTGGCTGYCAACAAACCACCTTTTAAAAGGTTAAACTCCTGGATCACACAAGAAATAGTCAATTAAAACATATTTATTAGGCAATGTAAGTATATTGTTATAATATTTACAAATTGATGGTGTTATAATTATTGTTTTTTAGGTTATACACAAAATAAGATCCGTCAGAACTGTGCCTTGTTGGCAAGATGGTGTCGCTTCATCAAAGCTAAGAACGGAATGGAGATCGGGAGCGCAAGAAATTAGAAAATTATAATGTGTATAAAATTGCTAATTTCGTTCTCGAAAACTGTCTTGAATAATCAAGAAATGTAATACGAGAAATGTAACGCTAATGTTTGGCAAATTATTCAGATATACGACTACCCAAAAAACCTTTCGTTCTTAGCTTCGGTGAAGTGTGTGAGCCTTTTCAATAAGTTGTTTTGTGGTAAAGAAACATATTAGCCATGTTATCGGACTTAGGGTTACACACTCGTCAAGCATACTGATTTTATGATAATTCTGTTATAAAGTTAATAAAAGTGATATCATATGGAAGGTTATGAGATATTGTGTACACGATTATTTCACACTTTTTGAAAGTCATTTAGATAAATGTTATAATTCTGTATTAAAGGTTATTTATTTTACGTTACAGTCTTTTATGGCGTTTAACTGGGACGCGTTTATGTCTTTTAGGTAAAGATTTATCCTTGAGAGACTTGAGAGTTCGTTTATACTTTCTCTCCACCACAGGGATTCCATCCTAATTGTGGCATGACATTCCATTAGTCAGTGAACAACGGAATGGCGTGTTGGATGGAAACAAAGAAAAATGGAAAGAAATATTCACCACGAATAAAAGGAAGAGAAAGAAATGGATGGATGAAAGATTGAAAAAATGGATGATGGATAATTGAATGAATGGAAAATGAATGRATGAATAAGTGAATGGAAACAGCAATAAAGGAATGTATAATGGAATGAATATATCAATAAACGTTTTATGAAAGTTAGAAACAGGATTATCAAATATTGTACGTGGAAGAAGAAATGGATGAAATGAAAAACGAAAAATGAAAGAAATGGGAGATATCCTTATGGATGAGATGGATGGATAGAACTTGAATAATAAATTTGCGAAATGTCGCAATAGCACAGTTAAGAAGAAGAGAGTGTATGATATGGAAAGTTTGGTGTTTAGAGTAGAAGACAGAGTCGTTTCTTGTGAGTTTACTCATGTTGCGTGCGACAAAGAGGAGCGTCTCAACAGGAGACTAACTCGATTAAGACTAACCTGATCAATTTCATGCTCCAGTCTCCTCATTTTGTCTCTCATATCTCTCTCGCTTTGGTCTCTCTGAGCAATCTCCAGTCGATAGCTTGAAGCCTGCCCAGCATGCTGTTTRGATTCAGTAACGAGTCTGTCAGCCTCAGATGTCAAAGCGCGGTATTGCTCCATGAGATCTTCCTTCTCTTGATCCTAAAATTTGAACCAAGTCTTAGTCAGCTTCTCGTCGACGAAAAAAGACTCAAAATACATCTTACAACGCAGCACACTTTATTGAAATAGGTGTATGATAGCAAAACCACGCCATGTAATTTATGTACCTTTTGTGCTAGTAGTTCCTCTATTCTGGAAACCTGTCTAGCRTACTCTGATATTTGGATTTTAAGGTTTTCTTGTTCCTCTAATGTCTCTTGAAGTTGTTGGTGTAGAGCCTAAAAAAACCCGGAAATTCATCAATAACAAATTTGGGTGGGCTGCCTGCGCAAATAGCAAAATCTTTGATATTAATTAATAATAATAAACTGTACGTGTTCATTGATTGGCTGAATAGTCTAATACGCCGTCAAGACAATGCATTACAAGTTGCACTCGCGTCAATGTTTTTGTATTTCCCGCGGTCTCAACATCTTTATTTGTACATCACAATTTTGTATATTCTCAAGCTGTGTTTTCTTTGCAGTAGTTTTTTACTTCTTAAAACTAAAACATGATAATTTCGTCGTTGGTTTTAGTCTCAATRAAATTTGAGAAATCTGGAATTCTATATTCTATTGTATACAGAAATAAATAGCCGTGAAATACATACTTGATTTTCTTCAGTCATGGCGTTTATATCTTCCTGGAGGCGACGGTTCTCTCTCAATGCGGCCTCTCTTCCTCTCGTCATCTCTGCTAGTTCGTCGTCTCTTGATTCTAGTTGTCTTTTTAAACTCTTCATTTCTCTGTCTTTGAAAGTACCTTGATCTACAGTATGCCTACATAACAAAACAATGACCCTCTATAAACCGGACAATCTTTATAAACCGACCAGTYTGACAGAACAGATCCAAAWAATTAGCCTYACTTGGTCGGCCGATTCTTATACACCGACCAGTCTTTTAAAAAGAACGGATGCCCGGAAAAGCTTAGGCAAAGAACTCCTTATGTAGACTTACCCGAGTTGAGCTTCCAAGTCTTTCATATTCAATTTAAGTTCATTTTCTGCTTTTTCCTGAGGAGAARAACGAAAACAAGTCAATCAAAACTTATAAAGTAATTAAATTGTTCCCCTTGCGATACATAACTGTCAACAAAACTGAGAGAAAAGGATTATTTTGCTAATGAGAAAGAGATTTCAACGAGTCGCGCAAAACAATAAWACTTCTTCAACACTAATTTTCACGAATTCACAAGTCGATTAACGTTAATCTAAAAGATTYATAAGTGGATTAATTATGTCACAAGAAATTCACTTAGCAGTTAATCAGATGCTTTCAAAATTAAGTGATAATCGTTCAAGAAATAATCAATCATACTAAACGCTTTGATTAGTTCAAGGAATGACATCAATAAAGACCAATTTACACTACCTCGTCACCTTGCATGTACGTTTTCAGATACGTAAGTGAATGATCAACAGCGTTCCAAGCCATGGYGAAAATATAGTTATAATCACCGAAAAATCTTTTTTTTTAAGTTTCTTTTCAGTAATTGGTAAATAGAAACACTCAATTTTGCATTCGCACGGTCACTTCACGAAGAAAACCATACAACAGCCTTGATCAGAAAAAAGCTATAATTCAGAAAAAATCTGGACCGAAAGCGTCGCTTTGGAAGAGATAAACACACCGAGTAAATATCTTGAGCTGGACTATGCATTGTTTGCGAGTATTAGCATAAAACTATTGACTTTGTCSTGATTGGTGGATTTAAAGATGTTTATTTAGCGTCAAGTACAGGGATGTTGTTCACAGTCGACCACAGGAAAACCGCTAGATAATCATTTGCGTAGGTTTATCATAGCATTTCTCATAATCATTTTAATCATATGCAATTTTGATTATATAAGGGTTTTTTTGTGGTATGATTTAGTGCATGACGGACTATGAGAGAAACGATCAATTTTGTGTGATTTTGAGTGTTGTTTCTTCTTAAGTTAAGATTAAAGAGAAAGATACGGTTACCACAAGCTCATTGAAACAGTCGACCAAATGATTATTCTTAATACCTAACTAGACTACTTTTTACTGTTGCACATTTATAGAACTGCGGTAAAGATTTAGTTATCGATTCAGAACGACACTAGTTTTAGGATTTGAAATCTATCGTCGTTATTTTATTTATTATTATATTTACTGAGTTTTAACGGAATGCCATTCTGAGGATCTGAATCGTGGCGGATTTTGTTTTCGTTCTAACATAAATCCAGCGTTTTGATTGGCGCTTGAGCTTTGGTCTATTTGTGATAGTGATAGTTTATCAAAATATAATCAATGAAAATAAGGGATCCACCATCCGAAAAACGAAGGGGTGGAGCTTTCAGTTCGTCCCACTTATTCTGCATGTATACTTTATTTTTTTAGTTTATTTCTTTCTTTTCTTTTCTTACCCGAATGTATATATGTCATTTTTTATTTCAAAGCGTGCTCTCGACCCCCACCCCCTCCTCCTCCCCCCACTAAAGATTGAACTCTAATGGCAATGTACTTACCAAGGTAATTTTAATCGCTTCCAGGTTCATTATGTCTTCGGTCTTCTCRTCAACTTGTTGTTGTAATTCATCTTTTTCACGATCCATTGATTTGATTGTTGCTCGAAGTTCAGCAGCTTCTTCTCTGCTTGAGGAATGTTTTCTCTCTAAGGAATCTGTACACGGGGAAATCATTATTGATGTGAAGACACCATGCTGGCATGGTCTCATTCGCAGCCCCTCTTTTTGTCGGGATAGGAAACCCCCAGAAAAAGTGATGGCTGCGAAGGAGTCTACCCTCAAGGTTTCAGAAGCAATTTTTTTAAATCTATCATTATAAAATAAGTAAGCCATTTTTGTGGCTTTTTCTTTTCTGCAAAGCGAGCTCTAAACTGCGGATTTTGGATTGCTCAACATTGAATAGTGCCACCACTGCAGTTTCCCATCATGCTTTATTCTTCATAATGGTGCCAGAAAACATTACAGGCTGCGCACACACGGTTAAATTACTCCGCCGACGATAAACAGGCTACACGTTGTCGACTTGCATAAGTTAATTTTCAAGTTAAATAGATAACCAATTTTTCACTTAAATTGATGACTACTTGTGATCAGAACGTCATGGGGCTACGTCATAGCACTTGACAAGTGCTTTTTCTCTGATGATTTTTCTTACCTATTCGTTCTTCCAATCTTACAACCTTCTCGTCAGCGGCCTGCAGATCACCCGCAGTACGCGTTAGTCTACGCTGATAATCTTCTGCTGTTCTCTCAGCTTGTTCAGCACGTAGAATYTCACGATTTACGTCGGAGTCTTTTTCGTAGGCTACGTCTTTGGCTCTGGTAAGTTCTGCAGAMGATTGCTTCACTTGATCTTCAAGACTAGATACCATGTTGCGTAGCGACGACACACGAGAGTGAAGTTCGTTGCGATCTCCTTCAACCTAATCAAAAACAAAGATCGTGAGGCGTCCACACAACTGACAAGGGTGTTTAAGCGGTTTGACGCTTGCCTCTCTACGCCGCACTTATGCATGTAGGTCTATTCATGGCTCGTGAGATGCATCATATATGAGTTGAGATATAAACCGCYGGGGCATGTGGGATAGCCGCGGAAAGCATGGAGGAGCATGCGCAGCAGGTAGATTACGCAAGTTACAATATGATCAAGTGAACACTGCAGTAAAGCCTTTGACATCTTATTTTAATATTGACTAAACATACCTTTTCTAGCATTGCTTCATAGTTTTCCATTTTGTCTTCGTATCTTCGCTTTTCTAATTCRCTGCTTTCACTAGCTGCCTGCAATTTAAGAAAAATATGAAATTCATTATTTCATTGTTTCGAACTGGATTAAATCACGTTTGTGCCGCGTCGACTCGTAATAAGCAGTTTAACRCTAGATATTTARCAATTAGACCTCGAGGTCGAGTGGACTACGAGTTAATAGCCCATGAGGCCGAGTCCGCGAGGCCGAATGGGCTACTAGCTCGTAGTCCACGAGGCCGAGAGGTCTAATTGCTTTAGTATAAACATACTAATCGGTCAAATAATGAAAACAAATTGAAATATCCTTAAAATAATTTAGAATTTAGAATTTATTTATTTTGATTTTCCCGCGAGTGGTCTATCACAAATTAGACCATTAGTAGAGTAGCCAATCACAGCGCAGTATGAGTGATAGACCATTAGTAGAGTAGCCAATCACAGCGCAGTATGAGTGATAGACCATTAGTATGTTTATACTAATTTAGCTTATTCCTTAAGTTCTCCCCTACATGCAGCTCTTCGCGTTTCCCCTACGCTGAGTTTTGTGTGCTGCGACAAGAAACTACACGATGCGACTTGTCTAATCGCACGAGGCAAATCGTGTAAATTGACCTTAAAGATAAATATCTTACCTTCAGTTTGTCTTGTAAATTTTCGATTTGGTTTTGTGATCGTCGTAAATCAGCCACGGCATGATCTCTTTCGGCTTCCACGCGTGACAGTACTGCGGAGGCCGCGCGAGACGGTGAAGGAGAGCGTCCACCTCGAGATACCGAGCGTCGTAGTCGTTCTATCTCAACCAAGGCCTGATGAAAATGGCGAAGGAAATGCATTCGGTTTTTTTTTCTTTTCTTTTGTGTGTGTGGTCATAGTTAAATAGCCAGGTTAACCAAATGTACTACAGTATTTTGACTGGGTTACGCCCTTCAAAGTAACAAACCTGTTCGTATAAAGTCTGTACGCTATCACGGTCTTCGGTCAATGACTTAACATTTGCTTGAATCTGAAAACAAACATTCAGCTTTAACTTATTGCCCACGTTATGCACGTTTTGTACATAAGATAATTTTTGCTCTCTTTTGCTTCTAACATAGAACTACATTTCCATGAAATACAAGGGAGTCTCCTACCGTCAAAAAGGTTAATACCCGATTCTGTTTACCTGCAAGATGAACTAAGTTCATACCTCAATCAAGTGCTTTTCAAACTTGTCCACCATCGCTTGCAGCTCATCTCTCTCTCGTCGTAGTCTATTCACTTCTGATTGACTTTTACCACTCGACTCCTACAAACAATAACTATTAATACCATACGAAGCATGAAATGTTCTTACACCACAGCATGCATACCTTTTCTCTAGTTGGTGGTGACATAATTCCTCCTTTTTCACGAACATTTCTYAATAGTTCACACTCCCGTTTGTAAAAATCTCGTTCTTCTTCCATTAGTTGTAGCATGCTTTCTAGATGAGCTTGTGACTAAAAAATTCAACGTTTTCTAGCATTATACCATGCAAGGAAAATAATCTAAACTCAAGCCACTTTTACGCAGTAGATATTTTTATGCTGTTACATGGTTTTATCAAGGCATAACGTCGTGTTGTTTCGATGCAGTAAGCTGCTTTAAAATAGCTATCCTCCATGCACTAGATACAAACTATAAGTGTATTACACTCACCTTTCCCTTCCCTCCTTTGCCTCCTTTTTTCTTTGCTGGAGAAGAAGGTGCAATTAGACGTTTTCTCATCATGTCTTGTAGTGAATCGCACTCTGACTTGTAATAATCACGCTCTTTTTCCAACGTTTTAACGAGAGTCTCTAGTCGTGAAGGCGACTAAAAGTAAAAAAAAAAA